GGGCCGGGCCCGGGCGGGCGGCGCGGCGGCCCAGGCGCCTCCCCGCCCCGGGGGAGGTGCGGGCCGCGGCTTTCGTTGCTACTGTTATTTATTCATTTATCTTTTTTAAAATTATTATTATTTAGTWGCCGCCTCGCTCCCGGCTTCGGTAGGGCTGGCCTCCCTCTCCCCGGGCGGCTGTAAGCGGCAGCCGCGGCGCACGGGGAAGCGCTTGGTGCTGGGGGAAGCGTCTTAGAAACAAACGTGTTCCTAATCAAAACGAACTGTGTAAATGTTTGTCTTAGGGGAAGATTTTTTTTTTTTTAAGGTCCTTTTTTTTTTTTTTTCCCTAATTCTTGGAAAGAGTCTACATCACTGAATCCAGGGGAAAAAAAAAAAAAAAAAAACCCAACCCATGTGAGTACAGAAACAAATGGAGGGTTGTGCTCGTTCATCGTAACAAGGATGTGGATCTCTTAAAGTTTGCCTTGACAACAGAAAGAGGCTTTTTGGAGTGAACCTGGGGAAGGCTTGAATTAAGTCATCCTTTTATTTTGGAAGCAAATCAGAGCCTCGCATGTTTGCTCTCCTCCTAGCACCCGTTTTGCCAGAGAAAGTCATCCTAGTGCTGGCCTTGGAGTATTACACACCATGTAATCCCCGTGAACTTCCCTGTCTGCCTCGGTTTGGTTCTCAGCTCTGAACCAGCCCTCTCCTCCTCATGGAAAACACATGTAAAGAAATATCTAATCTTAGAAACAATCCCCCAAACTTTAAATATCGAGAAACTCTGCAGCTGTGCTGAGAGGCCTGATGGATCGTAAAACCTTGGTTGTGCTCACAGCATGTCAATGGGCCACATGCCTGTTTCATCCTTTCAGATTCATCACCATAAGGTGCAGACAGAGGCTCTTTGAAAAAGCCTTAATTTGAGAAGCGCTGACCACTTGGGCCAGAGATGAAGAAGGGGAACTGAAGAGGTGTTTCAAAATGCCAGAGGACYCGGTGTTCCCTGTTCAGTGCATGGGCAAGCCTCTTACATGGCTCTTTTGACAAAGAATGAGATAGCAGGATTTTGTGGTGTCAGAAGTGTTCTTCTGCCTGGGCAGAACCCGCTTCTCTGCCTCATTTGATCTTCTGTCACCTTATCTGCACTGTCATCTCCTGGAGTCTGATGCAGTCTGAGCTACATGGAGCAAATTAGTTTCTTTTAAAAACACCTGTGCCAGGTGTTTGATTCCCAGGGGACCCTGCACAGAGGCAGGCATCTCAGAATTTAGTTCAGGGTATCAGAAATCTACTGGCCACCTCAGTAAAGGTGCAGTCCCCCTGAGGAGGTGCCCTCTAATGTTGCATTCAGCATTTGGGCAAAGCTTCGTCAGAGAGTTGCCTTCTCACAGGGTGTCAGAGATGGATTTTTACCTTTTGCATGTCTCTTTCTCGTGGCCGTAAGCTCTTGCAGGCTGCCCAAAATGCCCCTTAGGAGCCTATATGTTTTGCTGAATGCCCACCCTGGATGATGGGGCCTTGGGAGTCGGTAGCAAAAGGCCTGGAAAATCTGAGATTCTCCCTGTATCTTCAAGCTGCAGTATAGTTGCTGCAAGGTCTAGCTGTCAGAACAGCAGCTTCTAGTTTAAATGTCAGAAATTCTCTTAGTAATCACAGTTGACACCTGCTACAGATTTTTTTTTTTTTTTTTTTTGCTTCATGATTTAGTCATGAGAAAGTATTTAGTTGTATTACTCTGACATTTTCCTTTTCAGGTGCCATTAATGGGCCCAAGGATGTGTTTGTCATTAACAAGCAGGCTAGACGTCTTGACTCAGTTCATGGTGCTGGCACTGGCTCCTGATACGATCTAGGTTGAGAWGTTTGGGCTCCCTGTTCTTTGATTCCTCTTCTGTAGAGGGGCTATAAAATGCATCTTTTCCAGCTTTCGCCTAGGCAGTGTTATCCAAGTGAGATGGAAGCTGACAGAGGGCATCCGATTGCTTGCTATAAATGCCTTAGAAGGGTAAATACCCAGGCGGGAGAAGAGCTACTTAAGCTAAAGAACAGTTTTGGCAGAAAAACAAGTGGCTATAAATAGAAGATGAATAAACTTAAAATGGAAACTCGAGGAAAGTTTCTGATTATCAGATCAGTCAAGTTCTAGAACAGCTTTCCAGGATGAGTCAGGGGAGAGAACAGCTTGGGGTATAAGATGCACATCTCGCCTTTCTGAAAKCACTGCGCATTGCGTAAGGCACAGCTACCTGCTGACTCTGTCACCTCTCTGTGCCGTTTCTGTCAGTCTTGCTGCTTTCCCACTACCATGGCAGGAGTTACTGCAGCAGCAGTAACCRTGTCAGAGACAGCAGTAACTGAGGTCAAGTGTGTGTCTGTTTAATTTCTGTACGTGGTGTGGGGGCAGGTGGTTGTTGAGGCTTTTATGAACTGGCAACTCTAGCTGCTTTTGGTGTGGACCTTGAGCAGTTAATGGATGGGGTTATTTGGCCTGGTGATTTGTGTTCCAACCAAGGACTAGTCTTCACAATGCCAGAGGTTCCCTTCCTGCATAGCACGGCCCTGTCTCGGAGGCTGCTATTTCTGGGAAATCTGAGCAGAAAGGTGACGGCTGGCATGACTAATGGCTTTCCCAGGTTGGTGAATCTGACCTTGGCATTCTTTCTAGAGGTTCCCAGGTATCAAACATCACTCCCAGATGTTGAAGATTATTAAAGATAATGCCCATTCCCACTCCTTTTCTCACATTCCAGGTTGGCAGATGGATGCCAGGGACAAGCTGCTGCTGCGCTCCCTGCGCCTGGAGCTCTGCACAGAGGTGCTCGTCGATGGACTCGTCGTTCAGTATCTCTACCAAGAAGGGATCCTCACGGACAGTCACGTTCAAGAAATAAAATCCCAAACCACCAGCCAAAGGAAAACCATGATGCTCCTTGATATTCTTCCTACCAGAGGACCTAAGGCGTTTGACGTATTCTTGGATTCCTTGCAGGAGTTCCCATGGGTTAAAGACAAGCTGAAGGCCAAGCGGAAGGAAATGATAGTAGAGGATCCTACAGGTAAGGCCAGAATTGTTATTGCTGATGATCTGAAGCTTGTTCTCAGACCCGATTTTGAATGTCTTGAAGGTACCGGTAATCTCAAGTAATGGATCATATAGGTATGGAGCATGAAACCAGCATAGGGCACAGCCCGAATTTCCTGGAAGGCGGCCAGATGCCAGGACGCATTGCGAAGTCTGGGGAGTGAGCAAGGCTGAGTTTCTGCATCCTGGCAGGCAGCAGCAGCAGCTTCCATAAGGAAAGGCTGAGTTTGGAGGGTCTGAGGTATAGGACCCAAAGGCTGGACTGTAAAGAGCAGTTTTAACTAGCTGAACAGCAGACTCTTCACAATCTGTACCTAATAAATCTATGTTTGATGTATGTYTTACAGTGTTTCACTTCTATATTGTTGATATTGGCAGGATTTTTATTTACAGTTTTAATTTAGTGGTATCTAGTAATTTAGAATTATGTAGGTTCCTGTGTTTATYGGAGAACAAATGTCTAGGGTCATTACCTCCAAAATTACTTGCTGTTGCTTAACTGTAGAAAGAGCTTAGGAGCTAACAGATTTAGTGGATGTTACGTAATCTTATTTAGTCAAATCTCTTGTTTTCTGACATTTAGATGTCAGACATTAGATGTATTTCTAAAACACCTTTCTGAGCTTGGTGTTTTAATAGTGAAGCAGTCCTCACTTTCTGAGCAGTCTGGTTAACCTCCCTTTTTTTCTACCTCAAACTGCACCTGCTTTGGATTCGATCTTACTGTGATGCTGATGATGTGAGTTTTCCTATGTCAGTGTGTTTTGCATGAGCCTCTAAACTTGTGAAGATGTGTTGCTAGGAACAGCCTGCGTGCCTGCCTCTGGGTTAGCTGCACACCCAAGAATGTTTTGTCAAGATCTGCTGGACAAGTATGGCGTTGTCTTACCTAGGACATTTTAAATGGAATATAAAAGCAGCTTTTCTTTCTGCTCAGCCTGTATGAGATCATTTTACGCTTGCTCCCAGCTGCAGAACTGGGTAAAAAAAAAAAAAAAAAAGAAAGAAAGAAATATGTGCTTCCCACAGGTCAAAATGCTGAGTTCTCAGCACGCTGCAATCCTGTGGTATTGAAAGTGTTGGAAAAGATCTTGTTGATATGATGAATCCTGTCATGCTAATAATGTTCAGTGTTTGCCGTACAAATCAGTGTGTTTGCTAATTGCTGGTTCAGCTTTTGAGTAATGACTACCGTTCCTCACAGACACACACACACACACACACACACGGATGCCGAGTACCCCAAGATTACCTGCTTCGTTACTAGAAACATAGTTTCAGAGGTATGTTCTTTGGGCTCCTTTTGTAGATGGTTTCTGCCCATTCTTGATGGTTTATGACTAATATGCTCTATTTATGCCTATCAGGTTCTCTGGTTTCGTGTGGGTTGACTGTACCTGATAATCCTATTGCCAAATCTTGTGTGTGAGCTAGAAAAGATGTCCAGATTAGATCAAAGGTTACCATAATTTTTACTGTGGCAATACGGAGTSTGAAAACAGGGTAAGAGGCAAATAGCCAAGTCAGTTTTAATATTTTGCACGTTCTTTAGGAGCACGGCCCGTGCCTTAATAAACACTGAATGCCTGCTGAAGTTAACTGAAAAGGATGGGGATGCCGTCAGTGCTGTTTGCATGCGAAAAAAAAAATGTGGATTGGGGTAAAAAAGCCTCCCTTTGCATTCTGAACAACAAGCTTGTAAGCTTTTGTCTCAGTAGAGTACTTGAGCATATGCTTGACTTCAAGCATGGAAAAAGCCATTGGCTCTAATAAAACTGTGAGCGTGCTTAAAATTACATTCCGAAGTGCCATGCTAGATAACTTAGCTTCTACCTTACTGGAAACTGTTCTTATAAATGATGATTTGTCACTGGCAATTTATTTTAAAGAATCCGTTTGTAATGAAAAGAACCTACTAAAATGAAAAGAGCCTACTAAATGCACATTACTTTTTTTTTTTTAAACTAAAATACTTTTAAAATCAAAATAGATTTTTATGGCTTCGAGTTTTTAAATCTTTATTTCCGTGAATCATGCATACTTGTRGAAATAGCCTGCCTGCTGTTCACATGTTTGTGCTCAGTTAAAATTCTGTTTACTCAAGCAAAGTATCCTCAGTTTTTGCTGATCTTCTGCAGGATGGCATGTTATTCCTTGAAGAAAGGCTTTATTTTATAGTCTCTTTCACTCCTAAAGGACTGTATGTAGGAGTTTTAAATTCAGTGTTAGCTTTCCCCTACCTGAGCATGAAAACTGTGGCACCTGCCATGGTGGGTTTTATTTGTTCGTTTGTTTGTTTGCTTTCCRTATGTAGGCCTTTGGATTATTGTGCATCTCATTCAGAGAGATCAGGCGGGCTATCTTTGGTTCAGCTGAGAAATATAGTTTGGATCCCAGGCAAATAAACCCCACAGCTGCACTTAATAAGAAGTTTTTAATTTGTTTTCGTTCACTAGTTTAAAAAAAAGAAGAAAAAAACCCAAATGCAGAAATTTTAGGAGGACAGAAAACATCTTTAGTGACGTTTTCTAAGAGCCCTGTAGTTACAATTTGGTGGATTGAGCAGCTGTGGAATGAAATCCAAACTCTGCAACCTAAACAGGACGCTGCCACTGACTTGTGAGGCTTTGGGCAGATGTTTCTGAGCCCATGGATTTATCAATTCCCAACTTGTGTCACTCCATATAATGTTCACGGAGCACCGTAGAACGTGTCTGTAAATGAACCTCGGATTCCTCCCAGGATATGCTGTTGTCTGTTTGCAAATAAATGAACCTTAAAAAAAATGATATCCTGAGTTTTATTGCTGACTGTCATTTTGACTTAAAAATCATAGTCCAGTACTGCTACCTGCTGTTGTTAGGAGGAGCACAGAGGCCCTAATCCCACCGAGCACAAGGTCTCGAGTTCCCACTGGGACAAGCGGGTGCCTGGCAGGCATGGTAGGGCTGCCTGTATCCGTATAAATTCATCAAGAGCCCCAGGATTGCTGCCCGTGTTTGTGTCCTCTGTCCACGTGACAGCCTGTTGACTAGCATCAGTTTCCTCCCCTCTCTTTCGTGGCTCTGCCAGATGGTCAGGACTTCAGGAAAATCTTTTCCGAAGGTAGGGGAAAACAGGATTACAAAACCCAAAACTATCAGGAGGGAAATTGAGAGTCATGTGCTTTGGAGGTAATTATTAGTGACCTAAAAGAGTTGAATTTCAAGATGACAGGGTATGTTTCTTGCTTAAGAGCTTAGAATAAAGCGGTTCAGCCTGTGCATCGTAGCTCTGCAAGGCTTATAAATCGTTGCAGACATCAAACCACAGCRTGAGGTTCTGCTTTTGAAGATAAAAATTTCCGCTGCGGTAGGAGTTAACAAAAGCACTGCAAGTCAGGCCCGTTAGGGAAAAACTGTTCTGGTTTTTCTGCCCTGGTTCAGCTAACTTTATGCCTTTGTCAGGAGCATAAATCTTCGATATAGTGTTATAATTCCTATGAAAGGCTACAGCTGTTGGCAACAAAATTCCATCCTTTCTAGGAACAGCAAACAGTTACTCAATATTTTTCACACTGAGCATAAAAAGAAAGTGAGCTTTGAAGGTGCTTATCAGAGTGACTTTCAGATCTCTCCATGCTCAGGATTTTTTTTTTTTTTTTTGCCAAGGTATTAAATTTCTACAACAACTATATGTAGCTATAAAAAGACTTATTTCCAGAAATGTTAGTACCGCCCATCTTTGGTAGTATAGATTATTTCTTCACAGGAAATAGCATGCTGAGAGAGAGACAAATCTGAGATGCTTTGTTTGCCAGGAGGGTCCGGYGGCGGCAGCAGCAGTTGTGTCCTGGCAAACGCTAGTGAGTGTGGGGCACGGAGTCGCACGGGATGGGCTCGAGAGGCCACTTGTGGCACAAGGAAGCAGGGGCCCTTCTCTAACGCACAGTCTGTGTTGCACCTCGCTGGGGGCTGCGTTAGGGTCCTGCGGGCGTCAGTGGGGTGGGCTTTTTGCCCTGTTTTGATGTGGTTGGAGTCTTTATTTTTTCCCCAGGGGCATGTGCGGAGTCAGTGTTCTGGTCTACCTACAGGCAGCTCCGTGTTGTGTAACGTTTTGGATGAGGCATGCAAACACGAAACAAAGCAAAACATGTGCCCTCGCTGCGCAAGCATCCCTTCCTGCCCCCCTCGCTCCCCCTCGCCCGGCCCCAGCTTCACCAAAGTCCTTTTTCCACAGCTGCCTAGAAGTTTTCTAGGAATTCTGACTCCCATGCAACAGCATTAGGGCACGGGGAAGGTTCGCATCTCCTCTTACCTTTTGTTGCCTGCTTCCTGCCCGCTTCCTAGCCTGCCTCCTGTGCCCCCTAACGTGGTGAGGAGACAGCCTGGTCCCCTTCCTTTTCCATTTGGCTGTCACATAGGAGAGCAGCTGATGAATTCTTTTTCTCTCTCTAAAATGGTGGACAGAAGAGGGTGTTTTTTTTCCTCTTTCTTCTCTTTCCCTCCCCTCTCTTGCATGATCCAGTGACAGAAGGGGGAGTTTCTTCCCATGTTTGTCTGAAGGAAAGGGAYGGGCTTAGCAGCCTTGGCCACACTGGACTGACCTGGAGAAGAAGGAATGCCCTCGTGCCATAGCCCAGTGCCTGAAGGCTGCAGAAAACGCCCCGCACTGCTCCTGAGAGATTCAAACATATCCGTGCAGGAGCATTTCCCAAACTCTTTTCCATGCTCCCAGCTCCCCCGAAACCCGGGTGTTACATTTACGGCTTTGGCTTTGCTCCTGACCGCAGGGCGATCTGTGAAGCCTGGCCCGAGCGCTCCGCGCGCACACTCCATAAACAGCATGCGGATAAAATGAGGATAAGCAATCGCGTCCCTGGGCCTGCAGAGCGGGCCGGGTCTGCAGGTAACACACAGCCTAAGCATGTGTCAGAATGAGCACAGGATCCCTTTCATAGCCTGGGGAGTATTTGAGTTGTTTCTTTTATTTTCT